GTTTACTGACTGCTTACTTGGAGTGAGGCATGGTGCTAAGTACTTTACAGTCACCTCCCAACCCTCTGAAGTTCGCGCTGGGTTTAACTCCATTTTACAGATGAGACACAGAGCCCTCAAGATGTTAATAACTTGGCCAAACTCACTGAACTACTAAAATTGTGGTTATCAGGCAGTGAACCTGGGCTGTTTAAGTCCCAAACCTGTGCTCTTGGTCAGCGAAGAGAAAAATCAGATGGTATTAAATGGGGAGGAACACAAACACATATTGTACTTAATATATTCCTGGCATTTACCTGACAATAATCCTGCAAGGGAGGTATCGTTATTCCCATTTTACAGATGAAGAAATAGAGGCTCAGAGAGGTTAAGTAACTTACCCAAAGCCACACCGTTTAGTAAAAAACCCAGGCCTCTCTGACTGTAAAGCCCGTATTCTTTCTTCTTCCTTCCCAATGGAATTCTCAGGGATTTCACTGGTTGATCTGAATAATTAAAATTCCCTCCTGTAAATGTTTTTAGTTCTGCACATCCAAACTAAGCAAACACAATAAAACAAACACCTAGGGAGATCATCAGAATTGAAAGTCTATTAAAGATTGCCTGTGAGGAGATCACTGCCTAAACTTTGTTTTGTAAATTCTTCTGCTTTAATTAGTTATATTTTCTGAAGTTCAAAGAAAGAGATGAGAGACAGAAACCAGTTTTTATTGGCTTATAGTTAGGATTCATTCATATAATGGGTTCTTTTGGTTACTCTGTGTAAAGTCACCCGTAGTCATAGCCGTGTCCCTCAGGGATCAGGAGAGAGGGCAGTGACTATAGTAGGAAGCTGTGGACTTTAGTCTGGAATGGACCTGGAAGATATTGGAATCCAAACTCTCATTTTCTACATGCGAAAATGAAAACTCAAAGAGGTCGAGTGACTGCTAAGTTAACGGTAGAGCTGAGGCTAGAAACCTGATTCTTTTTTTTTAAAACTTTTATAATAATTAAAGTTATTGGGGTGACAATTGTTACTAAAGTTACACAGGTTTCAGGTGTACAATTCTGTAATACATCATCTATATATCACATTGTGTGTTCAACACCCAGAATCAGTTCTCCTTCCATCACTGTATAGCTTTCCTGATTCTTAAACCATTGTTCTTTCCATGACAGGAACCAGAATCACTTTGGAGTATATGCCTTTTCCCTTCCCTTTTGACCCAGAGAGGGGGAAAAAAGAGTGAGAAAGGTTAAAGAAGATCTTAAGTAATCAGGACACTAAGAATCAAGTGATCCAGGAGAGAGGCGCAGAGGGTAACTGCAGAGGCAGGAGGTAGCAGGGCACAGGAACAGATAAGCTCTTATCTAAAGCAATTAGAGCAAGCAGGCAATTAAAGGCTTTTGTTACTTGTACTACAGTGAATGCTCTGAAACAGTCAGCTTTTTGAAATCTGTGCCCAAATCAGAACCTAGAAAGTGAGGACCTCTAACCTCCAAGCAAAAGTTCAGTTTGAGACAAAAGGTTATTTGTTGTTATACTTAGCTTGGTAGGAAAAAAAGAAGAAGAAGAAAAAAACAAACAAACGTGAAACAAGATGTCAGCCGAGGTCCTCTGAGTCCAGTTCCAGCGTCTGGGAAGTCCAAAGCCCACCTCCTGGGTTTTTGTGAATTGACCCAAGGGGCTTTCATTTTTTTTTTGAACTTCTAGACTTCTGAGATCTTGTTTCCATGTGTAAATTGAGTAGAATTTACTATAGAGATGGAAGGTGGGGTTTACTTCCCACCAATAGCAAATAAATTTGATCGGATGGATGGTATTAATTACTATCTAACACATTCTTGGCTTCTTTCCCTACCTCATCTCATCTTTTCTCCACTGGCGGGCTTCTCTCTCTTCTTCCCTCCCACCCTACCCCTCCTGTCCTCTTCCCCTTTCCTTGCAGGAGCAGAAACAACAAGCCTTCCCTTCCTCTCACCTGGAGGTGTCCCTCAGCATCAAGCCCTCCAGGGACGTGTCATCTCTCTCTACAGGCGCATCACTGGCTTCCCCCACCCTGGAGACAGTTTCCTTCCTCCTCACCCTTCCCAAAGAGGAATTGTGGGGCCAGCTGTTAAGATTTTTTTTTTTAAGTTTTTTTTTCACGTCTTTACACAAGATGGAAAAATCTCTGGAGTTTAATTAAAACGGTACTTGGTTGTACTGTGGTGTTCACATTTTTAAATTGCTTTGTTCTGTATGGAATTTTATTATAATAACTCATAGTATGGGCATTTCTTGATAGTCATATAGTTCTAATAGACAATCTTCAAAATTGTCAAGCATTAATGATCAGATCTAGGCTTTATCTTCCATCTATGAGTCACACCGAAAGGTGGTTTAAATGAAGCAGCTGTAATGAGGCAGCACTAGAATTGAAAGCCTAGGAGGAAATCGGGTACCCTTTTAAGGGGTGGGTTCTGAAAACTCAAACCTATTAAGTAATAGACAACATCCAAGCTCACAGCAATACATGGGGATTTGAAACTGTTTCCCTAAGAATGTTTCTCTAAGTAGAGAGAACTCTCTTATCTGCAGGCTCTAAGTCATGACAGGAAAAATGTGCAGATGGTTCCTGATAGCCACAGCCCTGGGGGATGGCCTAAGGACTATTCTCTGTACTTTTATGCTCCTGTGCGTTTTTTCTCTTGCATCCCTTCCATTCACAAAGCTTTAACTTCTCCAAGTGTCACATATCCCCTTTTCTGCTTGGGTGTGGGGGGAAGGAATCCTGAAGTGTTCAGTTCTCAGGCACCTCCTGGATGGCTTTGGGGTCTGTACCTCTCATCCTTGCCTTTGTAATGTGTTCCCCTAAGCTCCACCTGCTCCCCGGTTTCTCTAGTTCATCCTGAAATCTTCCTAGATAAACCTGTCTAAATGATGCGAGAACTTTCCATCAGATGAATACATAATTTTCCCATCACAGTCGTTGTGTGACCTCGGCTATGTCCCTACCATACTGTACAACTACAAGCTGTCGAGAGTTCTGTTTACTCCCTACTCTCCGTATGTCCCCTAATTGAGTTTCCTCAATACCCTTTTCCTCTTCTCCCAGGCCCCACATCCAGTGTTTCTTCATTTTCTCAACCATCTTGCATCACTTAGGAGGTTGCTTATTTCTAGGAGGTATACGGCCTACAGTGAGTGCCAGCTGCCACCTTGTGGAGAGGAGGCCTTAGCCACACACACACACACACACACACACACACACACACACACACACACACACACACACACACACACCCTGTGGCCCAAACAGCCCGTTATCAGAGGCGTCATCACCGAATCAAAGATCACTGCAAACTTTTGGAGGGCTTAGTTATGCCTCGTGCTCCTTAGCAAAACCACTAAACAGAAATAGTGATTATAATTAGTATATTTACATAAACAATACAAATAAACCCCTACAATCACGCGCTTCATTTATTAATAGCTTAACAGTTTTCTATCGTCATTTTATTTACCCTGGTTTCCCTTTCAGCTTTAATTAGCACAAATTTTTAAGTGTTTAATTGATAACAAATATTTTAACTTCGGCAAGCCCTGCTAGTATGTGACAGATGCTTAATGTCAAAAGCCCGTGGTGAAGGCTTCTGTTTAGCCTTTGATGGTTGTTTTTTCAAGCTGGAGAAATGTTTGTCTATGCTGATAATTGGTAAGCATACCTCACCATCAACTTTTATCATCTTCCAAGTCCCTGTTCTCCTCCCTGGATTTCTCTTCTATTCCTGGCCTAGGAAGGGCAGGGAAACCAGGCGAGAAGCATGCCTGAATGGCCTACGTGATAAGCCTCATAAAGTTATTTTTCTCAATTAATGGTTTTCACTGACAATTTTACTACTCGGTTTTAAGCTTCTCCATTCCCTTGGGCATTTGTACATCTGTCTGTGATAAGCCTCATCCAGTCCAACAAAATTGGCCCCTCAGAATACAAACTGCCCTATTTTAAAAAGCTCATCTCTTTCTCTCTCTCTTTTAAAAATATAACACTTGAAAATACATTTAAACATAAAGTAATAGGGCTTTAAAGCAGAGCTATAAAAGTGATTTATTCAGGAGTACATCCTTATTCTTCTCCCAATTGACATCCGTTTTATATTAATTTTCCTTGAGTATGTATCCTCAGCTTTTTGCTAAATCTTTACTACAAATATGAACTTTTTTATTCCACCCTTATTCCCTTCTACTTAGCTGCAAAGACTCTCATATGGGCTGAAAGGGATCCATTGGGGGTACAGAGCCACAATTTGGAAAACTCTGCTATGAAATGATAATGCTCCCTAGTCACAATTACTGACTTTATTAGGTAGTCAATTAGCTATTTTTTCATTAGGGAGAGAAAAGTCCTTAATTCACTTTTTTTCAAGTTCCTTGAAATGCACTTTTAGAATCATGCTCCATTGGTAGCAGGAAAGCATACCTTTTTCTTAGGTCAGTGGAACCTTTGCTCTAAAGATAAGTCATTTCTGTAGAGAAATTTCTATAGCTCCCCTCTCCCCACCCCTGAGGACTCCTAGCAGAGAAACAAACCAAATGATAATAATGTTCACTTTAAATTGTATAGTTTTCAAAGCAGATTCATACACAACAGTTCATCTAGTTTCTCTTTTTTTTTAAACAGATGAGAAAACAGAGGCTCAGTGAGATTAAATAAAAGGCGCCTTTGAGGTCACACAGCTTGTCAGTCAGTGTCAGAGGCTGGGATTTAAACCACCACTTGATGATTCTGATTAAAAAAAAAACAACAAATTCCATTTTGCAAATAGGATTAGAGACCCAACGATTTTCATTAACTTTATGGTGGGGCGTCTTTTGTAAGCAATACTCACCAGTGACTGTGCTTTTCTTAGCTTACATCTGTCTTGCAATTTATTTTTCTTATCATGGGATTGTTGGCTGGAACCTGGGATCATTTCCTGTCTTTTCCTTCTTCTGTAAATTGGAAGGCATTGGAAAAATGACAAATAATCATTTAAAAAATTTGTCGATTTGATGTTGTTGTTCCTGTGATTTAAAAGATTGTCTTCACTCAACTGGAAACAAGCCAAAACGTCTATCAATAGAGAACTGGCTGAATAAACTCTGGCACATCCACACAATGGAGTATTATAAATTGTAAAAAAAGAAGGCAGAATATTTCTATATACAACTGTGGAGTGATCTCCAGGATATATTGTTATATGAAAAAAAGAAAAGTGGATAAAGTAGTGTGTATTGTATGCTACTATTTATTTAAAAACTGTGTGTGTGAGTATGTGTGTGTGTGTTTCCTTGTGTTTTTTCAAATGGAAAGACTACAACATCACATTTTGAAAAATGATTACCTATGAATAGGATTCTCCTGTGATCCAGTCAGGAACAAGGAACAGTAGGGAGGGGTAGGCACAGTATATTCTCCAAATATACCTTTTTTTTTATATTGGACTTTGGAACCATCTCCATTTTTCTCAAAATTATAAAATAAGACAAAGGAATAAAATCCCTAAAATCTAAAAACAAAATGAAACAAATGATCTTGTCTGTCAAGTTGGTGGCATCAACATACACAGAAGAATTACTTCATGGGACTTTAACATGGTGACTATTCTCAGTAGAATATATCCTAAGGATAAAAACGCAGGCAAAGGGATCTTAAACTGTTTTCAGTAGTCCTATTGTTTATTTTAATATTAGTATTTGTTTTCTAAAAATATATGTATTAGGATAAAGTAGGGATCAGCAAACTACCGCCAAGAGGCCAACAGCCGTCTGATGCCTGTTTTTATAAATAAAGTTTTATTGGAACGTAGTCACGCTTATCTTTTGTGCATTGTCTATGGCTATTTTCAGGCTACAATGGCAGTGTTAAGCAGTTGTAACAGAGATATGTCCTGTAAAGCATAATGTATTTGCTGTCTGGCCCTTTCCAGAAAAATTCACCTAAAATAATGGATTTAGGCAATGATTATCAATGGCCACTAATATTACAAAAAGAGAGACAACCAGATATTATGTGCCAGATATTATGGGAGCACAGGATCATTATATACTTAAGCCTCTAGATCTTCCCACCAGTATGGCCAAGTACAGGAGACAGGGAAACATGTTACCTGCATGTTGGGAGTACAATCAGCAAAATTCAGAAGGTGAGAAGCTCTATAGGATAAATGACCTAATTTCTATCACAACAAATTGCAAGAGAAAGAAAGGAAAGAAAGGAGGGAAGGTGGGAAGGAAGGAACATATGGATAAAAAAATAAAAAGACTTAAGTGACACAGGGACCAAATGCAATATGTAGACCTTATTTGGAACCTGACTAAAAACACTTCAAAAATATCAACCACTTATGAGATATCCAAAGAAACCTGGAAACCAACTTGACACTTGATTGATTATATTAAAGAATCATTCATTGATTTAGATGACATTTAGTATCAAGTTATGATTTTTAGACAGAATCTATCTTTTAAGGATATGCACTGAAATATGTATGAATGAAATAATATGATGCTTGGATTTGCTTCAGGGGTAATGTAGGGGAAGGGCAGAGTGGGTGAGGAATAAATGAGACCAGATGGGTCCGGAGTTGAAACCTGTCAATGATGGATGATGGTTACAAGGGGTTTTATTCTCTCTACTTTTGTATATATTTCAATTTCCATTATAAAAAAATTTATTTTAAAAGATCAGCTTTGCCCAAATATTTCTTGTTGCTTAACTTTCAACAACTTCCCTCAACTTTTAATTAAGAAATTTCAAATACACAGAATAGTTGAAAGAATAGTACAGTGATTACTCATATATTGTCCCACTAGATTTAACAATTGATAATATTTTGCTATTTTTGCTTTATCTGTTGTATCTATAGATATATACATACATAATACCATATATAACATCATGTATATACATAATACTGTATATATGTGTGTATATATATATATATACGTATATATGTATATGTATATGCCACACTGTAGTAAAGTAAATTGCAGATACTTCACCCCTAGATACTGTAGCACTCATCTCCTAAGATAAAGACATTTGCCTACCTAACCACACTAGTATGATCATACCCTAGGAAATGAAGAGAAATTTAAAAAAATCATTTAATACTCAGTTCATATAAAATTTCTGCAATTATCCTAAGAATGCCTATTATAGTTTTTCTTTTTTGAACCAAAATCCCATCTAGATTCAAACTGCATTTACTTGTTATGTCTCTTATGTTCTAGAATATTTTCCCCATCTCTTTTTTCCACACACCCCCCCCCCCCATAACATTGACTTTTTAAAGAGACCACACATCAATCTATTTGGGTAATGTAGCACATGCACTTGAAAAAAAATGTGTCCGTGAATTGTCTTTTTCTTTAGATCTGTCAATTTTGCCTTATGTACTTTGAAGCTTTGAAATGAGATAATATACATTTGTAACAATTATGTCTTTCTGTTTAGTTGATCCTGTGTCATCATGAAATGTCCTTCTTTATCTTTGGTAACACTCTTTGTCTTGATGTCTATTTTGCATGATATTCATGGTCATTCTGGCATCTTACGCTTACGTTTTGCATGGTACATCTTATTTTATCACTTGATTTTTAAACCTATCTGTGTTATTATATTTAAGGTGAGTCTCTTGTAAAAAGCATATAGTTGGTTCTGGCCTTCTTACGTATTCTGATTATCTTTGCCTTTTAATTATGTTGTTTAATAAAACTATTGCTTTTCGCAAAGGGTATTTGAGTCTCAGAAAACTCAGGAGATTAGGAGTTTATTTTGTTAATGTACCGTTCACATGCCTGAGTATCTAAGTTTGCCTCTCTCTCATTTACCAATCTAGTCCAGACTAAGGGCCACATTCAAACTCTTAAATACTATCTTCAGGGATACATTTGATCAATACATACTCAATACATTAACAGTCGTTCAAAATTCAAGAGTTCAAAAGGATATACAATGAAAAATTTCCTATCCATCCTCGTCTCCAGCTTACAAATCTCCTCCTTGAAGGCAAATGATAGTATCAGTTTCTTGTATATATTCCAGAGATATTTTATGTACATATAAATATAAATATATTTTTTTCTTTCACCTCTACCCATTCTAATGTAAATAGTACCTATTGTAAACTCTGTTTTGTACCTTGTTCCCTCCCCCACTACTTTCTAAATTATCAGCAAACTAATTGGACTTTTTCTGATATAAATAGATGAATTTAAAGTTCACGAATCAAAGGCTACACTTTTTTCAAAATCAAATATTTAATGAATACTGTAATGCTAGTCAGTGGTGTGTAAAGATGAGTACAGCATGGTCTGTGACCTCAAAGAGCTCAACTTTTGCTGAATGAGGGATACCACTCTCATCTCATCTCACCTCCAAAGGGACCCCAGTGGTCCTGAAAACACCCATGTAATCTGAATGTCCCAAGTCATCAAGGCTTCTGGGATTACCCTTTGCTTTATTAGCCAAATAACATACTTTTAGGAATCATCCCACCAAAACTTATTTGCAATGGTTCAGGCTCTGTGATAAGCATGTCACATAGATTAATCCTCACAGTGACCCTATGACTTAGGTATTACTATGACTGCCATTTTACAGATGTGGAAACAGGCACAGAGAGGTTAAGTGGCTTCCCAGGGTCACACAGTGAGAAGTGTGGGAGTCTGGAATTGAATACAAGCAGCATGGCTCCAGAGCCTGTACACTGTCACTATCTCATGCTGCCTTGAGGTTGATGTATTCTAAAAACATAGCAGATGTATATTAAAACATTCTCAAATATCTCAAAATTTGTTTTAATTTCTCATTTATCGTGCGTGTATGTTAATAAATGGATACATATGTATACACAGATATAGATGTATATTTTCTTACTTTCCTTTCTTTCTATACTCTTATGGATGGCATACTATATATACTCTTTTGTAATTTGCTTTTCTCAATTAACGATGTACCCTGGAAATCACTCCTTATCAGTTCATAGAGATCTTCCTCATTCATTTTTTTTTTAATTAATTAATTTATTTTTTTTAGCTGAGCCATCCTGCCACCTGTTGGCAGCTCAGCGGCTGCTCAGCTCGGGCTGACTCGAACTGCTGTTGCTCAGAGCTCAAACTCTTGAGCGAGCTCTTAACCAACTGAGCCACTCAGCCGGCCCTTTCCTCATTCATTTTTATAGTTGCCTAGTACTGCGTGTGACTGGACCACACACAGTTAATTCAACAAACACTCTCTTATATATGAGCATTTAAGTTATTTCCAATATTTTAAAATCATAAACAATGCAACCATAAATATCCTTGTGCAGATGTACTTTTGGTATTTTCAACATTGATTACTCGAAGTGGGATTGCTGGGTTGAAATGTAAATACATATGATTTTTGCTGGGTGTCGTCAAATTTCTCTTCATAAGGTCTGTGCCAGTGTATATTCCCACTAACAATGTGTGAGGGGTACCTGTTGGCCCACAGCCTGACTGACAGAATATATTGTCAAACTAAAGTTTTTGTCAATCAGGTAGTTGGAAAATTGTATCTCTTGTAACTCTGTGTAAAAAACAACAATAAAAAAATAAACCAGGGCCGGCCGAGTGGTGTGTTGGTGAAGAGCTGGCTTGGGACGCCAGCTCTGAGCAGCAGGACCCCGGTTCGGATCCCACATGGGGGCCAGTGACAATGCCCTCTACAGCTAAGATGGTGAACGACAGCTCCATTTGGAGCTGGGCTGCTGCGAGGCGATGGCGTAGGCTGCAGCCCCTGCTGCAGTGGGCTGCCATAAGCTACTGTGTGTGGCTGGCAGTCAGTGTAAGCGGCCGTCCAGAGGCTGGCGGCTGATCTGCCTCACCCAGGAAGAGCACAATGATAATACCAACATGGGCCAGTAAAGCAACGTCCTCCACAACTAGACTGAAGAACAAAACGACAGCAACTTGTCTATTCCCCT